GCGGGCTGGGGCCCCCCCCCCCCCCCCCCCCCCGAGTGCACAAATTTTTGTGCACCGGGCCTCTAGTCCATATAATAAAAGCCCAGCAACAGAAATGGTGGAACGACCAGAATGACCAGAGACCAGAAGGACAAGGCCCCCTGCCCTGGCTGGCCCCACACCCCAGGGAGTGGTTAGGGGCGATGAGGCAGGCAGGCAGAGGCGGTTAGGGGCAATCAGGCAGGCAGGTGAATGGTTAGGGGTGATTAGGCAGGCAGGTGAGCAGTTAGGGGTGATCAGGCAGGCAGGGAGAGTGGTTAGGGGCAATCAGGCAAGCAGGCAAGCAGTTAGGAGCCAGCGGTCCCGGATTGCCAGTGGGATGTCCGACTGCCAGTTTAGGCATGACCCGTAGGGATCCCTGTGGGATTGGGCCTAAACCGGCAGTCAGACATCCCCGAAAGGTCCTGGATTGCAAGAGGGTGCAGGCCGGGCTAAGGGACACCTCTCCCCTCCCCCACCCTGTGCATGAATTTTGTGCACCGGGCCTCTAGTATAGTCATATCTGCTTATCCATGCATAAAGAAACTAAAGGATCACGTTCTCCTGTTTTATTGTTCCTGTTTGTTGGTCTTACTTAAATAAATAAGAAGCTAGTCACTGCATCACCTGTAGGAATTAGGTGGAACAGCTGGGCAGAAGTTGGATCGGAATGAGAGACTTTTTATATATATACACATTATATATGTCATTTAAACCATGTGACTGAATTATTTTTATTAAAAATGACACTATTTTCTTTGAATATTTTTTTTCTGTTATGTTTTCCAAGACGACACGGTAAGATCAGAGACAGTGATGAAGAGAATGACCCAGATGATGAAGATGCTATTGCTAATGCCGTGGGGTGTCTTGGGCCTTTCAGTGGGCTCCTGGCACCTGAACTACAGAAGTACCAAAAACAAATTAAAGGTAAAAAAGGTGGCTCTCTATTTAGATTATCACAATGTGTTGGTTCACTATAGCAGGGGTACTGTTATTGTAACCTATAAATGCCTATTTATTTTCTGAACTGGTTACCCTTATTGAAGGTCTTTGTTAAAAGTATCTTCTCTGGACCAGCTGTCGTGGCTCAGTGGTTGAGTGTTGACCTATGAACCAGGAGGTCTAGGTTCAATTCCCGGTCAGGGCATATGCCCAGTTTTGCTGGTTCAATCCCCAGTGTGGGGTGTGCAGGAAGAAGCCTATCAATGTTCTCTCTCTCTCCCCCTCCCTGAAGGGACCGCCCTGAAATTAAAAAATTTTATATATATATATATATTTGAAAAAGTATCTTCTGTGTTACTTTCTCGTTTAGTAGGATTTCTCTGTGTTATGGGTTGCATGCATAATATATATTTCTTCTTTTTTTTATGGTGACTTTGCGCCGTACTCGTCCGATTCAACTTTGTATGCTCAGTTCCTTAGCATAGAGCCTGGAATGTAATAGATGCTTGCTACCTTGTGTTTGAGTTTAATTGAATTCATTCTAGACTGGCTTCTCTTTTATAGAGAAGTACCCTCTGAATCTAAAACATTGTGGTGGCCTCTCCTTGAATTTGAGAGATAAGAAACTCACTATCTCATAAGGCATTCTTTTGGGTTCCTCCACTTAGCCCATGGTTTCTAGTTGCAGAGAGATAATCTCTGCCTACCAGTTCTATTAATAGTTCATTTCTTTGGAACAAAACAGAATGAGTCCACTCCCTCTCTGACTGGACGGCTCTTCGGTTTTTTGAGGACAGCCATCATGTCCCCAACAGTTTTCTCCATGGCTCAAGTTCAGAATTTCTTTAAGCATTTCTCATAAGATATGATTTTCAGAACTTTTAATAGTATTTATTTTTTGTATTTTCCTTCTCTTCATCATCATCTCATCATTGCTGTCTTTTCTTCGCCATCTTCATCTTCTTCGTCTTTTTCATAGTACTGGTTTTGAGTATTTTCCCTAAGCCTTGGCTTGTTTTGAGTTTTGACCTGTTTCATGGTTTGGGTTCATACTTTTTGTGTGTGTAATGTCTTTGGTATGCATTTTCCTCTCATCTTTTTAAAAGGCTTTTAATAATGTGAACCCAACAAGATCCCCATTGATTTCGTAATGCCTTCCACCCTCCCTCTTGTTGCCTGGATATCAGCTTTTGGCTTCTAGCCATGGGATCAATGTGGATTTTAATTCTAACATTTTTGAATCTGCGTTTCTGAAGTCTGGGTCTGTGTTCCCTCCCTTCTGTGCAGGTCTGTGCCCAGGATGACCTGATCATGTTCTCCTGTTTTATTGTTCCTGTTTGTTGGTCTTACTTAAGTTCAGGTGTGCAAGTCCCCTTTTAATTTCCTTTTCCTCCCACAAGTGTCTTCAGGGAAAAAAGGAAGTAAACTTGCCAGACGTGTAGCCCTCTAACACTTTCAGTGGCTGTTGGGATAGTCGAGATCCCTACTGAGGGTTCTCTTTCAGCTGGTCCCCCGGCCAGCTTTGCATATGGTGCTGAGGAGCCCGGGTCTGCCCGCCTCGGCCGTGCAGTCTGGAAGCGTGCTTTCGCACAGCGCTTGTTTCTCTCTCGGATGTAATCTCAGTTTTATTTAAGGGACAACCCTGCTGGGTGTAGGTGTCCCGGGAACTATAACACACATAGTGTATGCTCAGGAAATGGTTGTTAAACAAATAAAAACATGCATTTCTAGTGGTAGAGTGATTCGAAGTCTTGATAATTTCATAGAATCTATTTTTAATTTAAAAACTCACTTAAAAAAAAACCTTACCCACGGATATGTCTTATTGATTTGAGAGAGAGGGGAAAAGGGAGAGAGAGAAACATTGATGTGAGAGAGAAGCATCGATTAGTGGCCTCTCACAAGTGCCCCAAACAGGGATGAAACTCACAGTCTGGGTATGTGTCCTGTTTAGAGAGAGAAACATCGATGTGAGAGAGAAGCATCGATTAGTGGCTTCTCACAAGTGCCCCAAACAGGGATCAAACTCACAGTCTGGGTATGTGTCCTGTTCAGGAGTCGAACCCACAACCTTTCAGTATATGGGATGATGCTCCAACCAACTGAGCCACACCAGCCAGGACTAAAATCTCACTTTTAATGGCTGATTAAACACTAAAAACTATCAATCCCTTATAAATTCTCACTCATTTATGTGGACTTCTGTACAATGACTTGACATCTGGAATTACATTTTTCTAAGGGTATTTTCGAAAATAACAGTGATTTTTATCTCGAAAACTTGATCTTATGTCTGTATAATAAACAAAGTGGTAATAAAATAAAACTATGACTCCACACAGCTCATTTCAGACCCACAATTAGGCTAATAAGAAAATGCAGAAGTATTTTCAGGACTGATTAAAACAAGCTCTAGACAAATCCTAGTGTACATTTTTTTGTGGTTTAGAATTTTCTGGAGGTTGTGATACCACTCTGGGTTACAGTGGAATCAATTGCCCATTCATCCTGTTCTCCTCCACTGACACCTCTCCTTGTCTCTGCCGTGCGACTACAGAGCCCCACGAAGAGCAGAGTCTGAGATCTAATAACATTGCAGAGCTGAGTCCAGGAGCCATCAATTCCTGTCGAAGTGAATACCACGCCGCTTTCAACAGCATGATGATGGAGCGCATGACCACGGACATCAACGCGCTAAAGCGGCAGTATTCTCGGATTAAAAGGAAGCAGCAGCAGCAGGTTCACCAGGTGTATATCAGAGCAGGTAATGGGATTCTTCGAATCAATTTCAACTCTGTCAGCCTGTGAGAGGAAGAGCACATATTCCTGCACTCTCACTGTATGTAACGCAGCATCCAGAAACTCAGCTGGCACGAGTGATAGCACGTTTAGCATCTCATTTTTAAAAATTTTATTTTATCAGGCTCTACAGAAGACAAAGACCATGGGTTCTCCTTAGGTCCCAAGGACCGGGCAGTTGATGGTACTGAACACATCTTCACTGTGTGTGCTTCTGGAGAGGGGTTTACAAACGATCACAATGTTGCAAAGCCGAGCAATCCTTGGACTTGAGACATTTTGGAGCTATTGCCTCTGAAATTCCAGGCATTGGGACACAGAATTTAGCAATCTGTGCACGAATAAATCAAGCTATCCATTGGTCACTTAGGAGGTGACATAAAGGGCATGTAATCTGAGAAAAAGGAAAAGGCTGTCCCTACGCCTTGCCCGTGGGTGACTGTGTCCTGACTCTGCAGAGAACACAGGTGTAATGCAGTTGGAAATGCTCTTTCCCAAGGATTGTCAGGCTTCTGTTCTTTTTCTATTTAATTCCCCAAATCCCAGGGAGCAATAATCTGCTTTGTTTTTTAACATATGCTGATTTTGGAATTGGTTTGCTTTGTTCTCGGTGAAATTTGAATGAAAATGATTCCTGTCCATGATTTGACATGTTTTTAAGAGGCTTGTGAGCATGTGACTGATCTTGCCCAAAAACTGAATTTACCTTCTACTTCTCAGGAAGGGTAGGCGATTTCTTGAAGATTCGTACTTTATCCTGAATCATAAATCAATCACAGAAGAAATGAACAGCTGCAGCTCTGCAGTTTTCAAAGCGCCCTCATGGTGTCTTTAAGGAGAGTCTATGAGGAAGGCAAAGAACAGATATTCTCATATACTTTTAGAAGACGAGGAAGTGGTGATTCATGAGGATTTAGCAATCGTCAGAGATTATATAGTGATCGTGAGTGGTCCGGACAGGGCTGGAATCCATTTGTTCTAATTCTTTGTATAGTCCTTTTGCAACTACTGTATACTAGTAAATCACTGGGTGATATAGTGAACCGTCACCATTGTGTGCTGACTCAGCCCAGCGCCTCCTTCTCTAGTCAGGGGTCAGCAAACTATGGTCTGCAGGCGAAACCCTGCTTGCCGCCTGTTTGTGTAAATAAAGTTTTACTGGAATACAGGCATGACCATTGTTTGCATACTGTCTATGACTGCTTTTACACTGCCATGACTAAAATATTTATAATCTGGCCCTTTACAGTAAAAGTTTGCCAACCCTTACTCTGGATCATGGTTTATTTGGCTTATTTTAGGGAGAGATTGTTCTAGAGCAGCGGTTCTCAACCTGTGGGTCGAGACCCCTTTGGGGGTCAAATGACCCTTTCACAGGGGTCGCCTAAGACCATCAGAAAACACATATATAATTACATATTGTTTTTGTGATTAATCACTATGCTTTAATTATGTTCAATTTGTAACAATGAAAATACATCCTGCATATCAGATATTTACGTTACGATTCATAACAGTAGCAACATTACAGTTATGAAGTAGCAACGAAAATAATTTTATGGTTGGGGGTCACCACAACATGAGGAACTGTATTAAAGGGTCGCGGCATTAGGAAGGTTGAGAACCACTGTTCTAGAGCATTGCTCCTCAAACTCCCCTGTGCATAGGGACCACCTGGGGATCTGTTAAAAGGAAGAGGGTGTTTCAGTAGGTTTGGGTGGGGCTCAGGTTATGCATTTTTTTTTAAATATATATTTAATTGATTTTTAAAGAGAGGAAGGGAGAGAGATAGATAGTTAGAAACATCGATGGGAGAGAAACATCGATCAGCTGCCTCCTGCACATCTCCCACGGGGGATGTGCCCGCAACCCAGGTACATGCCCTGGACCGGAATCGAACCTGGGACCTTTCAGTCCGCAGGCCGACGCTCTATCCACTGAGCCAAACCGGTTTTGGCAGGTTATGCATTTTCAACAAGCTTTTGGTGCCAGTGCTGCTGGGTGGGGCTCACACATGGAGTGGAAGGTTTTAGAGGAGGTGGTGGAGGACAGGGTTAGCAGCACCGGTGGAGACTGAACTTGAGCTAGAAGCCAAAGACCATAGATTCTGAGACTTAAAGGAAGGAGGGAAGGAAGTTGGTTGGGGTACCAGCCTCCTAGGTTACAGAGGGCAAGAAGTTGAGGTCTTTCAGACCTGATAGCTTCTGTTTTCATGGAGAATTGGGGGAAAAGTTTTTCTGGGAGTAAGTTGGGGCCTGGGTGGGAGCTTAGAGAATAAGGAAGACTTGGATATGTTATTGAAAGGAGTGGGAGAGTGAAAGAAAAACATTGATCAGCAGCACTGAGGACCTAACAAGAGAGAGTGTGGATTGTGGATCTGAGGTCGGGGTTTTGCAGGCATGTGGCAAAGGGAGAGGGATGCCTGGGATGTGTGGTTCCTGGGGACGCAGTGGTCCAGGTAATGAGCCGTGCAGCTCTCAGAGTAGGGGTGTCCGTGGGCCAAAGATAGACAAGAAGTTAAGAGAGGATTGGGGAGTCAAGGAACCGAAGTGTCTGTCACCAGGTAGAGTTACAGTGGCAGCCTGAGAGCTGGAAGAGAACCCAAGAGAAGACTATTAGAGTTGAGTGTGTTCCATGTCAGGTCGATGTAGGTGACAAGGTTTAGGATGGAACATTTTCTGGACAGACCTCTGAGGTTGCGTCTCAGACAAAAGCTCCCCCCACCCCCAAATCATCTCCACCCCTTCTCTCCTCTTTAAAGAGTCCCCCCCCCCCCCCCCTCTGGAATTCAGTTTCTGCGCCTGCAGTCACATGACTCCCAGCGCCTGGGAGGTGCATTGGAAGGGCTGGGGATGGTCTCTGCAGACCCGGTGCCTTGAGGGCACGTCTCACGCCCCCTTCCGATGTTTCTTTCAGACAAAGGGCCAGTGACCAGCCTCCTCCCGTCTCAGGTGAACAACTCTCCAGTTATAAACCACCTGCTCTTAGGAAAGAAGATGAAAATGTCCAACCGAGCCGCCAGGAACGCTGTCATTCACATCCCCGGCCACACCGGGGGCAAAGCATCCCCCGTCCCCTACGAAGACCTCAGGTCGAAGCTCAACTCTCCGTGGCGTACTCACATCCGAGTCCACAAAAAGACCATGCCGAGGGCCAGGAGCCAGCCGGGCTGCGGGGACACCGTGGGG